GTAACAGACCGGGCCTAAAAAATACTCGTAAACTCGACAGAGAACTTATTCCTAAAATTTCGCTTGAAGATGAAACAGGACTAAACACCACAATCCAAATTAATTTTAATAATTATTTGGATATTCCGTCTCTCGTTTTGAAACATGAGAACTCTTATTTAGCGAAGGAATCATATTTTAAACAAAAATATTATTATAATATAAGCTCTACTTCTGTATGGAGCACTGTCTTCTTAAAATAAAAAAAAATACTAAACCAATCCGGATTATGCACCCAACGTGTTCTTTTCTATTTTCTGCATACCTACGCATATATATATACATATATATATATATATATATATATATATATATATATATATATATATATATATATCATAATATATGATATGATACATTTAATATGATACTTTTTTTGATAATATTTACTGAACATTTATTTTATTTAGCAAGTAATTCAGCTGTGTTTTATATGTTGTGAGAATGTGTTCATCTGAGAGGAGTCGCATCTTCAAGACAAGTTCGTTTGACCATTGACAAAAATAAATATCACTTGATTTATTTTCTTTTTTCTTTTCCACATTTTTCTTTAACATAGAATGATACATTCAAATATATGAACAATATAGATAGATTAGAAAGATAGATAGATAGACTTTCTGAGAAAGTGAAATACAGAAGAGTGTACTAGATAGATAAATAGATAGATAGAAAAGGAAAGAGAAAATAAAAGAGAAAGATACGAAGAGCAAGGTATATATAATTACAGATAGATAGTGAGATAGATAGGAGCAGAAAGAAACATATTTGTCGACATAGATAGATAGATAGATAGATAGATAGATAGATAGATAGATAGATAGATAGATATCAAGATCTGAGAATAACAATATGAATTGAGTTTTCGGTAAGTTTGGTTATTTGGAAGCAAAATGGCGTCCTAATCTCAGCAGGAGTCAATGATTTCTGCAATATCATAAGCAATTGTAGAAGTTCTAAAAATGTGGTACTTGACATTCTGTGAAAAGAGATTTCGGGAGATGTTTGAGATGTGCAATGGAACCCGGGAATCACCGGATCTCTCTTCATTTTGTTCAAATTGTATACGAATTCTTTTGGTCCTAACGTGTGTAAAAAGCTAAGAAGAAAATGTCTCCCGTCTTAAACACATACGCACTCGTCAGTTTTTGAATAGGGAATTTGTGTGAAAACAAACACACAAATATATATATATATATATATATATATATATATATATATGTAAAACGACTATCACTGAAGAAGAAAAAAAGATGAGAAATGCCGATAGCAAGGACAGAAATAACAGACGTTGAAAAATCCATGCTGCGTACTTGTAAATTGCGTCGCAGATTTGTCTATTCGCATTTTATCCATCATAATATTAGCGCCTTCTGAAAGTAATTACGAATTTTTCCGTTACGAAATTTATTAATCGTTCTTCTAGCAGACCTACCTGATATCGTTCTGAGTGAAATAATACAAATGAACATAGACCAGTTGTTCCCCAACGGCACGGTGGAATAATTGAAAGACAAACACCGATGTAGAAACAGTTTTTTTTTTTAAATTCATATGCAAAATCTAAATATGAATTCAAAATTTAAAATATTATTATTGATGGCATGTAATTGCATGTAAAATTCCTGGTATAAATAGTTATAGTTATTGGCCGATTTTACAATTGGCATAATTTTTTTTTTTAATTATATCAAGTATTAGTAACTAAGCTTTGCAAATTTGAGAGAGTTATCTCCCTTAAATTCACTCTTTTTTTTCTTTCTATTTTCAAATATACTTTTTTTCACTTAAAACTTGGTGAGGCGCCAACAAATCTTCATTCCAAAAATGCCGCCCAGATAAAAAAAAAAAAATTTGGAACCACTGACATAGACTGATGTGGGAGAATATGATATATAATTTTTTGTGGTATATAAATTATAAATTTATATATATATATATATATATATATATATATATATATATATATATATATATATATATATATATATATATATATATATATTATAGAGAGAGAGAGATAAAATAGGAAAGAAACGTTAGATTGATGATTCAAGTTATTTGGTATTTTTGTTTTTATTTAAAAAAAAAACAGCGCTCGATACACAAGTAGAGCCTAGATTATAAATATTTTGTTTTAAAAAATATAATAACATCGCTACACAGGAATTAGCATATTTCAAAAATAGAAGCTAAAACTTCCAATTCAATTCTAGAAATTAAATTAAATTAAAGTGTCTAGTTCTGGTTCATTTTCAAGCGACTTTTGGAATAAATTATTTAGAAATTTACGGAGTTTTATAAGCACATACTAATATTATGAAGGTATGTGCTTAAAAAGCTCCGGAAAATTCAAAATAAGTTATTCAAAATTCGCTTGATTTTAGGTATTTTAATTTAATTTAATTTCTATAACTGAATTAGAATTTTTAGCTCCTGTTTTTTTTTTTTTCGAAACATTGTGGTAACTCCTGTGTAGCGATGGGATCATATTTAAAAAAAATAAGTATAATATATATATATATATATATATATATATATATATATATATATATCAATTTATATGACATAATTTTTGGGAAAAACAGTGTTATATGTTTCGTCCTTTCGGCCTTCATCAGACTGAATTAATATTTTTGTTCATGAAATTATATATGCGTAAGGAGGAGGGGAATAGAAGAAAACAAACTAATGCTGGCTGTATATACTGTATTCTGGCTTCAGCATATCACTCGTAGAAACAGAAAAACAAACAAAAAAATAGATTTCAGCAACTTTCTGTAGTCTAATTTCTCGTGGATAAATTATATACTTCAGCTCAAGGTGACCTCTAGCTAAATGGATAGCCACTCCTGAAGGTCACTTGTCAGCCAGTATTGGCATAATGAATCTGTTTGAGGTAGAGTTTGCACTAGTGCAGTTTTATTTCCCTGCGCCAATATGATGTTGTCAGAATATCGATGTTAATGCTAATGCTAAACGTTAGCTTGTAAGGAAAACATACGGTATCCATTGACCGAGCAATATTCTGGAAAATATGTATCTCAAGTTGACTGTTATAGTTCTTTCTAGTAATGATTAGCAATTCCTTCCTAACATATTGTTAATAATACCATTCTTCACACTTCGTGTTATATATGCTATCCATTTTAGTTGTTGCTGCTGTTGAAAGTCCTCAACGATGTGGTTTCTGCATAGTTCTTTGTTCCTGCAGAGGCTCTTCACCAATGCCTTTCTGATCTATTCGCTGGGAACCATTTTAAACCATTGATCCTAGAAAGATATTTTATGCAGTTCAAAACTTAGATATTTCTTATATAGTCTGGCGTCATGCAAGACATCCACATGGAAATCCCCAACTGATGAAGCTATTTAAGCGCATGACGCGAATTTTCAGGTTTATGTTTTGGTTTTGTAGCAATGTGTTGCTTTGCGCAAAACTATCCCGAGCAGAGCCTATTCTGTGTTCAATTTCCTTTTCACCTATACAAAATCAGCTGTATCTAACACATTGAGGTATTTGAAAGAAATATAACTGAATTTATTCAAATATGATTTATCAGATGTATACTAAACATTATTTTGAATGCGTACAGCCTAACTCCAAGGCAAATTTCGATCACATTTTTTAAGTAATTTGGGTTTGGAAGACTATCTACATTATTCGGACTATTGTCCTCATCTTTGTCGCTATTTTTATCACAACGTTTCGGCCGTTGTACGCTTCGGCCTTCTTCAGTTGGTTGGGATATCGAACTGAACCCTTTATTGCGCTCACTGAGGTAGACTGTTCTAGTTCCACGTGCTATGTCTAATAGATGACAGTTATCTCCTGTTAATTCCCTTCTCCAAGTTCTCAACCGTCTTAACTAGATATTAAACTCACACTCTTTGGGTCCTGTCACTGATCTCACTAACGCCTTTATCCACTATGCTATGTCTTCTTGAGGACAATAGTCAAAATAATGTAAATAGTGTACATAATACCTCATCTCCGAAATATAAACAGATACTGGGTTTGGAAGATAGTTTACAGTTTCTACGTTGTTTTCCTGCCACATTAGTCCTGGGTACAACGATAAAATCCCTCTGGTAGCAAGGCCTCTGATCAGTTGGTTTTGAGGAGCGTGGAACCACCTCTTTATTGCTGCTATTCCAAGGTCCACCCTAACCCGAGGTTGTAGCACCTCTTAGGGTCCCAGCTATGGGCAAATAGTGAACCCTCAAACACAAACAAAACACGATTAAAGTATAAAAAATACATTTTAAAGTAAAAATACCTGCAATACTTTTTTTACATATAAAATTATCAACAATATATATTCATAATAAAATTATCAACAATCAATTTTATAGTAAAATTACCAACAAAGAATTGTATCTGTAGTTGAATGCATACAATTGCTTTCAAAATATATTTAGTTGAAGACATAAAATTGTGTTCAGAATATTTAGATTTCGGCATTAAATAACCCATAGAGGTTTTGCTATGCCGCTAAACAATACAACTAACATGAAAGAGCTTTTTTATGGCCTTAATCCATATAATATTCAACAATTTGTTAAACAAAAATTCCAAAATATAATTTCAACAAGACAACAAAATAAAACACATATATCACCACCTCTAGTAATTATCCCTACATAAACATGTATATGCACAAAAGTTGAGTATTATCTACCATGTATTCAATTGTGAAAGCAGAATAACAAATATCATATTTTATTATTTCAAAGCTATCAAGAAAATTAAATTTCGTCATAAAATGACCCATAAGATGTTGATATGCCATCAAACAAACAAATCGAATCTTGCCAATTATGAAATTAAAAATTTAATGGTGCTAAATCTGGAGTGTATGTATTATGTGGAAGAATTTAGCACAATAACGAGTTTATTTGGGGGGGGATTTTTTCTTGCTGAAAGTAAACCTTCTTCTTATTGACAAAAGCAGGGTACT